ACTGTTTCAACATGTAAATTTAGTTCACCAGCACATGTGCTTATTTTAATTTGGGATAGCACTGTTAATCTGTAATACAAATGGGCATTTGTAGCAGTAGTCGCAATAATTAGGTACTGATGGAGTTTCACCTGCAGCCCAGTTGCTGTACAAGGCAGGGGATCTCTCAGTACAGGGAGCACTGGAATATCATTCTAGCTGCTGAGGTAAGGATATGTGCCGGATGAGAAGGGTCGTATGAGAGCATAGGAAACAAAGCTGGAAGACTTTCTGAACCTGTGGTTGTCATCCCATCCCCATCCCTACGCAGGCATGTCTGGAACAAGCAAATTGCCATCCCATGCTAGGATTGTGCCCTTCTGCAGACACAAAACAACAATGTGTGGCCCTAAAACCCCTTCAGGAAGTAGACCTTCCTTGGCATAGGCAAAGGTTTTCTCCCAGTCTTGTGCTAGCCTACACAACTTCTGGTCCTAAGCCTGCTGCTGATTTGCGTTACTCTTACTGGTCTGGACACATTATTTTAGACTGATAAAGGACTGTTTGATGTTTCTAAATTGTCAGTTGTTGTTATTCTGGTGGCTTGCTGTGCTGTTATGGAAGCTGATTGCATTTGGGTTGTCTGTCTCGGGATACACCTCAATTACTAACTTTTAGATAATGCATTCCTGAGATCCATTTGATACTCCTGACAGCATGCATAGCCCAAGTTAGCCTCTAAAAGGAGCTGCAGAATGTAATGAGAGACTACTGCTGCTTTGCAGGACTTACTGCAGTGGTGGGTAGGTTCATGTGCTCTGGTGGACATAGAGCCTGCCATTAGGATGGAGGAGCAGATGAGGAATTGACAACTTAGAGCACTTGCAACCTTGTTAATGATTTAACCATATCAGTGAGACGCAGTTGATCTTAGCGGAGTTTTAGCTGTCCCGTGCTGCTGAGCCTAGTGAAGTCCTCCTTGTGCAACAAGGAGTCACAGAAAATTCAGTGCATCATTTGGTGAAACAGGATGACAACAGAGTGCTCCTTTGTAAGGATGAAGGCAAGATGGTGCTTCTTGCTGATGTGCTAAATATCGTCCTCCTGATTGTGGCCAGCTGCCCCCACACACACCTGCATAGCTAGGGACAGATAATTTACAACCTTGGGCTCTGCAGGAGTCTACAGTTGTTTTTCAGAACTGGAAAATGCCCGTGTCAGCAATCTGGGCCAGAAAGACAGAGAAAGTTATCAGTACTCTGTCCTGACACCCATGCCACACACAGTGATTTTAATGAGTAATGGACTAGTAATGCACATGCTGGCTTTTGGAGAGTGAAGTGCCTTGGACCGTGTTATAACTGATAGTTAACAGGGCTTTACAGTGCCTGCTGTCCTTAACTTTTTAATTTCTGAGGAGATGGGTTTGAGAATGTGGTATTTTGTGGCTTTCATGTAATAGGAGCTCATTGGGTTTCCAAGTAACTCGCTGGGCTTCCTAACTTGGGGTCACAGACTGTGATTTTATTGACCTGTGTAGATTGCTTGCAGTTTCTTTAAATTCAGTAAAAGCTTTTGATTGGATCAGTTTCCTGTTATCTTAAAAAATGGGTAGGTAATGAGTGCTGTAAGAACTTCAGAATGTTTTCCCTTTATGCACTTAACGTTCTTTATAACTTAAAAATGCTGAAGTTAGATTTGCTGGCAGCTTAATGGAAGTGAATGGCTGTCTCTTAACTGTCAAACAAAGCAAGCTGAAGGCAGCCTCTGTAGTGGCAACAACTGCTGCGTCTGGTGCTTTTTTTGCCTTCCCTAACCACCCACGATGAGAAATTATATCGGTTTCAAGAGAGAGGATATTATCTCCAGTTAGTAAAGGGGTTGATGTTCCAGGTAACTGCTGAGAATTTCCCCTACTGTGCATTGTACCGGTTTTGGTGGCAGCTGGATAAGGTGGAGAGGTAGGGTTTTCTGGAGTTAGTGTTTCTGATTTAGTCTTGGAAGGCAACTTGTACTGCAAGATGAGGAAGGAGACCACCCAGAGGAGCATCAGCCATGAGCTGAAACATATTACTACCCTGGTCTTCCAGTTTCTTTTTCAGCATGATCTGCCCAGCAAAGACAGGTACATTTTTAAGGTACCTGAGTAAGAAAGAGGTGGCCTTCTAGGCCAGTGGAAGGGTTTCTCAATTCTGTATGAAAGAAATTTCCCTGAAGTGGGGTGACAGATGGAAGGACACTGACTGCAGCATGAGCCACACAGAACATCTCTTGTACCTCGACATTAAGAGTTATCACAGTGAAGAGAACTAATCCGAGTAACATGCACCATGCAGTGGAGGTCATTGAATATTCAGTAGTGTCTCTGTCCAAAACAGCCATCAATCCCTTATGAGGAGAATTCTATGGAAAGATACTTGAAAGGGTAGGAAGACGCTTGTGTTGTTTGAGTGCTGTCCAACAAAGGAAATAGGTATTTCATTTTTCAGTATTCTTACGCAGTAATTCATAAAAGCTGAAAATCCATAACAGTGCATCTCTGTTGCATAGTTATATGCCTAAGCAAGTCCAGGTAAAATTGATAAGAAAACACCATGGATATATTTAGCTTTTGACTTTCCAGCCTCCAAGGTAAGCCTGGAAAGAACAAGAGTCTATTGCCATCTTGTAGGAGAATCTCCTTCTTTATACCCAGCTTCTTCAAGAGAGCTGCAGATACTGCAAGCGGTCTGCACTAGTGTTTACCTCTGAGTACCCATTGTCTGTCCGTTGTTAGGAGCTTTCTCATGTGTCCAGCAGATCAGTGTGCTGTGCTGACTGCTCCAAGGCTGCTGTGAAAGCCCTGTGTAGGACCCTCTTCTTCCTCTCTCCATGGGTAGAAAAACGGAGCAGTAGAAGCCAGTGGATGTGGTGCTCAGCCTGGTTGAGCTCCATGTATCGCCACACCTCCTCTTGGCATCTTCTGCTTTAGAGGTGTCTGGGGTGTTACACAGTGACTTGGTCTTGGGTCTGCCCAGGGGAGTTAGCTCCTGATGATGTAGTACTAAATACTCCTACTGGAATCAAAATGCTTGGAACGTGTTTTCCAGGTAGCCACAAAAATGTGTGTTTCTAAGTTCCATATTTTGGGAATACATTCTCAGTGTGGTAGAGCAAGGGTTAGCCGGCAATGTGAAGCTGCAAAGGGCTGTGCCAGCATCCTGGCTTAGCCTGCTGGGAAAATGAGGTGCTAAATTCCAGATGTGGTGCAATAAACACCATCCAACTTCAAGAGTGAAGACAGGAGACCTTGCAGGAGACCCAGAAAATAAACAGAGAACCGTGGGAGGACCGTATGCAGAGAAGCTGTGCAACCACAATACAAACTGGTCATGTGAAAATGCAAGCAGCAGTGGACGCACATATGCACCTCAGCCTAGAACAAAGCACACAAGTCCAGACTGTCAGCACTGCAGGAAAGCTTCACAGAACCTTTCAGTGTGGATGAAAGGGTGGCAACAGGCTTGGATCAGTGGTATCTTATCACATACACAGCTTTTGGCTTTAGGAACTTGCTGGGGTTTTCCTCATGGCAAATGCAACTTCATCATGCTTTAATTTTTATTTTAGATTACCTTATATATCAAAACCTGTAAGATGAGGCAACTAAAGCTCTTGTTTGTTAGACATTGCTTTATTTAGAAATAGTATTTTTCAACACTGTTTGTGAGGGTAGGGGTGTGTTCATAATACGGAATTATTTTTTTTAATAAGAATTGGATCTTTTTGGTGGAACTGTAAGCTTATTTTTCCTGGTTTCAGGCTAGTAAAGATATTGAGATTTAAGAATCTAAGTTTTCTGAATCAAAATTAAATACTATTGAACTGTAGAAGTTCATGTTAAGTTTGAATAAAAAGGTCCCCAGAAAACTAGGCACTGTTACTTAATGCTTCTGTGTCTTTAGTACCATTCCCTGCTCTTACTTTTCAAAGGGAATGGTGAACACATGCAAAACTGAAAATCTTCTGCTTTAATATGTTTCAGGATTCGGTAACAGCTAATGAATGATTACTTAGGCAATTTGGTTTATATGGTCTGCTAATCATATGATAGTTACGTACTATATAAGCATTTTCCTACCAGAATTCAAAGACTTAAAATCAGAGCGAGCAAACGGTTTGTTTTTTTCCCCTTACATCTGAGGTCTGTTGGGGACAGCTGTGAGCCTAGTGAATTTGAAATTGCTACCAAATACCAAAAATTTCTTCAAAGGTATAAAATAAGGTGAGTGCCAGTATTCAAGAGGGTTTATTTTGGGATACTTTGCAGAGCTGGTAGGACTGTCCTGAGTCGCTTCTTTACCATGGTTTCCTTTGGCTTCGTGCTCTTAGTGGATGGTTCAGCAACACGTTGTGAAGGTGGTCTGCCATGTTATCCTTGGTTCTGTGTTAACATGCCATTAGGAACAGGTTAAATGGCTTTATTTAGAGATTGCCCCAGTCTCCACAGCTGTTACGAGTCACCAGTTCACATTTATAGTTGCTGTTTCTGGAATATATTCCCTTCTCTTGTCTTAATTCTCCAAGATTTTCTGAAGCAAGTGTCTCTCAGACTACAAGAATCACTAACTTCTGAAAAAATGCAGTGTAGTGTTAAGCAGAATAATGAAAAATATTTGTGTCCTCCTCAAACCTATTTATGCTGACAGGTTGACTAAAACAAGTTCCTTTTCTTGCTTTAAAAATAATTGACTGTAAAAGTTGATACATTTTATATGTTACCTATGAACTTCAACTAACAATACTTACAAACACTATGCAGGGTCTCCTAACTGCTACTTTATTACGTAGATCTTCTTTCTTGCAGGTGTAGGTATTATTCCATGCCAGTGTATCTGCATGTTTGTATGTGATGGGAAGGGAGCAATGCAGCTGGATGGCTGACATGGTTACAGTGTATGTTTTTGTGTAACGAAAGAGCTCACCTCCTTCTCTCCTTTATTGCAGTTTTACATCATTGAATGTTTCTCTATTTCTTGAAGATGAAGGAAATGACTGCATGTTTCTTCCTGCTATTTGGATATACTCTGCTTTCCACTGTCTCTGTCATGGCAAAAGACCTTCCTGGAGGACATTTCACCCGAAGACGACATGTTAACTCACAATCTCTGCTAGGTGAGTTACAAAAAAAAACCCCAAAACCCCAAACACCACCACCAAAGCCATCTCAAATACAAATGGTAAAGGCATGAACAGCAGGCCAAACCTTGGCTGAGTTAGTTTATGATGAAAAGGAGATGGCCATTTACGAGTAGGAATATGAGAGTTTGTTGACCAGTTAGCAGCTGTTGAAAGAAGGTGTTTACTTTTGGGGTACTTAATCTACTTTGTGTAAGTGGTATTTATTTACTACAGTGGTAAATATTTACTACAGGATTGTTGTCTTGGAAAAAAGACCTTGTTTTCACTGTTTAGAGGAAATTGGTTCACGGAGGTTTTGTTAAAGCTGTCTTTTAACCATACCAGCAAGTTTTAGCTGTCTATATGTATGTGCTGTGCATAAGGATAATTGAGTGGAAATCAGTGGCTATTGAAATCACAGAATAATAGAATGGTTTGGGTTGGAAGGGACATTAAAGATCGTCTAGTTCCAACCCCCCTGCCATGGGCAGGGACACCTTCCACTAGACCAGGTTGTTCAGAGCCTCATCCGGCCTGGCCTTGGACACTTCCAGGGATGGGGAATCCACAGCTTCTCTGGGCAACCTGTTCCAGTGCCTCACCACCTTCTCTGGGAAGAATTTCTTCCTGTTATCTAATCTAAACCTTCCCACTTCCAATTTAAACCCATTCCCCCTTGTCCTGTCACTACAGGCCCTTGTAAAAAGTCCCCTCCCAGCTTCCTTGTAGCCCCATCAGGTACTGGAAGGTGCTATAAGGTCTCCCCGGAGCCTTCTCTTTTCCAGGCTGAAGAAGCCCAACTCTCTCAGACTGTCTTCACAGGAGAGAAACGAGACCTGTGATTACATACTTGATGTTAATCCCTTCATTTTGTCAATTTAATTTTATTTATAAAGAGTAGCTCTTTTGCCAGAAATTTGAGGACAGGATCTGCCAGTTTTAGCTTGTGGCTGTCATATTTTAAAACATAAGGTTCATGTCTCTCTTGTTGATCATTACTTGTGCGTCATCAGGCAGTTTGCTGGTCAGCTTTTGCATCTGCTGACAATTTGTGACTTAGAATAATTTTCTTTTGCTCATTGTTTAAAGTAATTGTCAGATGATAAAAACATCTCATGGATGGGGCTTTGGACATGGTCCATCATTATGGTTTCATGATACACATCAGTAATAGATCTAATCAGATCTCTGTCTCCAGCCACTGGGAGATGTTAAGTGGCCTGCCTTCCTGTAGAGGTTACCTGACCTAAGTGAATATTAGGAATATGAAATGTGCTGCAGAAGATAGATTGGGAATTAAAAAGAAGAAAGCAAGCCAGAACATGGGTTAATATCTGACAAAGGGGAGCATCACATTTTATCCATGAAACTCTTCTCCAAACAAAATCTAATCCTCTAAATATAAAATTCTGTAAAGCCCCATTTACCACCTGTCCTTTGCTAACTTAAAAATACTTTTTTTTTCAATTCCTGTAAGCAAATCTAAGCCAAATGACAACAGAATTCCCTTTCTTATTCATCTTTCTCAAAACTAATACATACAGTATTGAGACATTTAGGGTTCTGCAACTGAAGGCTGAACACCACAGCTTTGGAGATAAAATCCATCAAAAAGCATGCATATGGAAGAGCAAAGAGAAATAGCCACGTGCACAACTTACTCAACAAGACTCTCTCAAACTTCCTAAAATCCTAAATTCTAAAATGTGATTAAATAGCAGTCTCTCCTGAATATTTTATGGTCTCCAGCAAATACCCTAATTGAGCTTATTACTTTAAGAAATAAACTACCTGTCTCTCCAGAAGATGAATACAATAGGAAGGTGTTACATGGAGAAACTAAAAGGTGTCACATTTCTCAGCTTGCCTTTTTTCCCCTATGACTTTTTAAATTGCTTTTATAGCCCCTTTTCATGTTTTAAATAGTGGAAAATATAAGAAAATAATTAACACTATATAAATCAAAATCTATAGATTAAATTATTTCTTTCTTCTTTCAAAAGCCAAGTGATTTGTGGTCTCTGCATTTGGAAATTTCTGGATCCCTGTTCAGTTTGGCGTGTGCAGGATGCAAACAGTTCTGGCAGCTCTGGCTGAAAGAGCCTTTTCCAGACATTAAATGATGCAAGAAACTTGGGACATTCTGTGGTCCAGCCCATAAAAGTACGTGGCAGTTTGGAGTTAGACTCTTGGGCCTTTGCATTCTGTTACAGTGAATTAGGTCACCTGCTTCAGATTCAGCAGTGCGTATAAACAGTGGCATGGTTAAAACGTGTCTCTCTGTAAAGAACAGAATGTGTAAAATGCATGCCACTCTCTGGAAAGCTGTAATGTTCCTTAAATGACATGAGAAAGAACAGGGCCAAACCATGATCTCAGTGACATCAGGTCTGTTGACTTAATAAAATCACTCCAGACTTATATCAATTTCGCGGGGATTAGAAGCTGTCCCTTTCCATATAATATGTATATTATAAGTAGTGGTGGCGACTGCAATTGCTGCTGTTCTGGAAAGACACGCTTGGCAGGCAAAAGCGAGCGCAATAGCTGCAAAGAACCAGCAGATACCTGGAAAACTAATAAAAGTTCAGGTTGTTTTTTTTCCTTTTGGTAGGAGTCTCTTGTGGTTTTAGGCCTAAAATGAAGGATTATGGTATATAAATATTAGTATAATTAAAATAACTTTATTCCTTTTTTCTTCATTTTACCAATTTTAAAAACAAAAGTGTACCACTGCGATAACTATTTACTAGTTATATATGTGGCTAATTTTCTGTAGCTAATAATTTCCATTAAAAATCTGAAATCTTTTGTGCCATGGTCAGTTGGACTTAAAGTTTTGGAACTCTCTCTGAAGCCCTTGAAAGTCAAACTGCTTTAAATAGGTTTGGCTTTTTAGGCTTTTCTTTCTTTAAACACTGAATCAAACTTAAAAATATTTAAAACTTGTAAGCTATGCCTATTTAATTAAATTTGTTAACATTGTCCTAAATCTTGCAGCATATTAGTTGTAGAACGTGTGTAACTGTTTTTAGGGAGAGAAAATACACGTATGTGTCTTGTTACAACAGAATTTCTATTTGATTGCTGGAAAATACTGGTTTAATGTAGGGTTGTTTATGTTTTAAAGGATTGTTTCTGTAGTCTTGCAAAACCCTGTGAAATAGCAGAAAGAAACAGGATGGTTCATTTCTCTTTCCTGTAGAAGAGGGCAGTCACCTCTCCCCTTAAGTGACATAGGAACTAAAATTTTGCTTCTCTTTCAACTCATTAGTAATTTGATCCAGTGTGTTAGATCTTTGGTCTGATCCTGATTTCTTTAAGGAAATTAATATTTTGTTTTAGAATCTTCTCTTTTAAAGGCTTTATCAGAGCTCTGAAGAGTTTTTACTTAGCTCTCTGACAAAGTCATTGTTCTTGCTGAGCACAGCTGCTTTGTTAGATTACACACAGCGAATTGAAACCACAGTTTTCCAGCTTAGCATTAGGTTTTGGATACAAAAGAAAAGCAATAATGGAAATATACTTAGCTACGTTGTTTTAAAGATAAAATTATGTCTGTTGCCTTAGCTAATTCCATTCAGATATAGCTGAAATGGACTTCTGCCCCTAACGGGACTAATGAAGAGCCATGTCAGTTGTCCAGAGTGGTGATTCCCATACTGTGATTTCAAGGCCATGGTCAGAGGTCCACAGCACCTTTAAGCCAGTTCTGTGCTCATAAGCAATCCCCAGTCCTTGCAAGACGCAGCTTTTTTTGGTGTTTGATCACGTGGGTATTTTTTGGTGGAGGGGATTTGGATAGTACACCCTACCGCATCTTAATCGTTTATTATGAAACAAAGCAAAGCAAAATGTCAACATTGTGGACAAAACCAAGATTCTGTGTTTGGTTTCTTGGTGAACTCTGTTCTTGTAAACTGGGCATATATTTCATGCCACACATTTCTTTGGAGAGCTCTGAAGTGGATGGGAATGACTGAATAAGCTGTAGGATAATCTTCAGTGCAATAACATTCCTTCTGTTCCTTAGGAATATAAAACATCTACCTACCTGGTTTTGAAAATAACTGTTTATGTGAGGAGAAAAGCTCATTTAGGGGGCATTCCTTTAGATACTACATGATACCAGAAAAAAGAAACTACAGGAGATTAACTGATATTGCACAAAATTGAAACAGAGGGGGAAAGGGAGGCCAAGAAGGAAATGTACTTGGCTCTTGTTCAGTAGCAACTGCTGCTAAACACAAATGTCCCTGTCTGTGTTAAATTATATTTTGCAACAAAATATATAATGATTTATCTCTTGGTTGTATATATATGAATCCTCTAATAATATGAGAGGAAGTAATATGAAGTACACAGAGTGCTCACTAAATTTATGAGTCACTTGCTACAGTCAGTTAAAATAATTGCAAACACTATTACATCCATCCTAGTTCTTAAGCTTGTGTGTCTGCATCTTGAAGGCTCAAGAACTTTATCAGGTTCACTATTCTGAGTTAAATTGGTCTTGTCCAGCCTGGAGAAGAGAAGGCTCCGGGGCAGACCTTATAGCACCGTCCAGTACCTGAAGGGGCTACAAGGAAGCTGGGGGGGACTTTTAACAAGGGCCTGTAGTAACAGGACAAGGAGTAATGGGTTTAAATTCAAAGTGGGGAGGTTTAGATTGGATATCAGGAAGAAGTTCTTCACAGAGAGGGTAGTGAGGCACTGGAACAGGTTGCCCAGAGAAGCTGTGGCTGGCCCATCCCTGCAAGTGTCCAAGGCCAGGCTGGATGAGGCTTTGAGCAACCTGGTCTAGTAGAAGGTGTCCCTGCCCATGGCAGGGGGGGTAGAACTAGGTGGTCTTTAAGGTCCCTTCCAACCCAAACCATTCTATGATTCTATGAAATTTTAGCCACAAATCAGAGGGGAAAATATGTGCAAAAAGTGAGTCACATCTGTGATGCTTCTGTGGAGTGCAGGTAATATTTCTGTTTAGGTTTGGTTGA